AGAGATTAATCGTGCTGATTAGTTTTTTTGCTAAATATCAGCCGTGTAGTTTCTCGTAGTTCATTTCTTTAACGATTTTCAAGAAACGATAGATTTTCTACTCTAAAATAGCATACTAAAATATTGTAGCTCTACGATAAGCGGTTGAATTATAAAAATTCATCAAACACGAAATATTGCAGCGCGCTAAACGATTCTAATCGGAATCTACGCCGAGCATACGTACTGTGTTAGCTACTGATTACAGTTGACGCCTCCTCTTAAATTTAATAATATGACTTTCACTCACTACTAGTTTACTGAATATGTTTATTATTTTGTTTTCAATATATGCAGTTATATATTATAATAACACAAAATATTCTTCTATAATCTGTTACTGCTTGTACGAAATAATCTGCTTCAATTTCACTATCTGTCAAATATAAAAGTAAACATATTAGGAATATTGATAGTTTTTAAAACGAGAATTTTTAAATCATTATAATTTTTCTTATAAGTATATGTGATATTCATTTTAAAGCTTTTGTATTTTTGTATGTGGTTTAGAAATATTTATTTCTATAAAAAATATACAATCAATTTTTATTTTAATTTTGTCATTATATTATACATAAATATTCTGCGGATTCGTTCTTCATTATTTTGCTAAGTACGAGAGTCATTTCATTAAATAACGTATAAGCAATTTAAAAAATCTCAGACAATTTAAAACTATGCTTACAGAACACATTAACACTTTAAAACACAAACACTTTTTAACTTGACTGTACTACATTTTGAAGAAAAATTTTTTACAAAAGATGCATTTGTGAATGATCTAAACAAAACCAGCAAAAGAATTTTTTTACTGCAAAATGTCCCAAGCATAAATCTGAATCAGTTCATATACCGAAAAAATAATGTATTTCTTTTTCCCCAACTTTATACGAATATACATAAATTTTTTTACACGAATACTATAGATGCCTTATAAAAAGTTTACAGTAAGGAATTTCCTGAACACAAGTTATAGTTCTCTCTATTTGTTTTTATCATTTTTTCCATTTCGATATTTCAATTACCCGAAGGTTTTCAATACCTCCGCGTGTGCTTTACTCTATTCGGCACACTCCGGTGTTATTATTCTCTCGTAGTAAAGTTGAGTGCATATAATATATTTTGCGGGACACGTTGTTGTGTAACGGTTGTTGTCACACAGCACAGAAGCAATAATAGACAAAGACCAACCAGGAACCGGCCAACCATCTAGCCAACCAGCCAACTAGCCAAGTCAACCAGTCAGTCGTATTATAGATAGATGTAACCGAATAGAATGGATTAGAATAGAATAGAAAAGAAAATATATGCTAAAAAGATATTGTTCCATTATGTTATTACTTTAGTTACGTGAGTGTTCATACGACGACGTCTTGCTCAAGAACTCAATTGGCAACTCATTGTTGTTACGAGAGCGCTCAAAGGGGACACGCCGTTGTTCGATTGATGAAATCTCAATTAATAAAATCATTAGTATTATTATTGACTGTACACTAGTCTTCTCACGTAATTCAACGTAGTCGTAAACTTTTTTTTGTGGAATATAGGTTCAAGTTATATGCACCTTTATGTCTGCAACGTTGCACAACGAACATGATGATAATGAGTTTTATATCTGTTTTTTTATTTATCACATGCACTTATTCCATGTGGAATATTAGCAAATTTTTTTTAGTAGTACCTAAAAATATGTAAATCGAATCGCAATCTAATGATTGGTCGGGGTACAAGTTTTATATCTATAATGTATTTTTTTTTTAAATCTTATTAGTTTTTATTTCTGATACTTTTCATACTTTCGATCAAATTGGCTGAATTTTATTGCCTTGGCGACTTAAGAATTTTATCTATTCTAAACCACTAATCCACAGCTTTCTCCGTGGATTAGTGGTTTGAGCTATACGACTTAAACCAGAGTTCCCAGGTTTGATATCCATTTGGGCAGCCTGATGTCAAGTAGTAGTGGCATCGGTTTTCACTTGGAAAAACAATTAGCAATGTTTTCAAGTGAAAATTC